ATTATGACTTTATTCTCGTATTATTATGACTTTATTCTCATAATTTCCACCAAAAATATTATTTTTTTCTCTTAGTATGGCCCTAATACTCCGTCGTAGGTTACTTCAGATTTTGGTGCACTATTAGATGTTACTTAAGTTTTTCAGTCTGCAGAGCATCAACTCAGTTCAATCGAGTAACTCACCTTTCTTTATTTTTGTAAACGATAAATCCAATCGCAGCAATGAGGACGACAGCAAGAACAACCACTGTAGCAGTAATCGGGATGGTGATGTTACTGGGCTCCTCTGCTCAGCAAAAAACAACACAAATAAACAAAAATCACAATGTCTGGAGAGGCAGCAGGTTAGAAAAGATCTATCCATCTGTTAATCAAGGTTACAAGGTTTGTGCAAATATTGCGTTTTATGTTTCACTCAGAGATTGAACTGAGGAGCTAGTATAAGATAAATAAGGTTATTTTTGAAGAGTGAATCATGCAAAGTTACAACAGCGTAGTCTCAGACCAAGAATACAGAGCTCACATGGAGCATAATAGTCCCCTTTAAATCTGTGTTTCTCACCTTTGTCAATTCTGATCCCAGTCTTATTGGTCCTGATCACTGCTTTGTCTTTCAGTTTGATGACGTTTGTCGTTCTTCACACCAGAGAGCCGTAACACCACAGTCGTACCTCCTCCAGTTCTTCAGGTGTGACTGATAGAAAGGTTCAGGTCAACACTCATCTGGAAGGATCCATTGTGGTTGAGGAGGATCTCTCCGTGGTCCACGTTCCTCATGAATCTCCGTCTCCATCTTTCTCCCAGGTGAGTGTGGCACTGTCAGGGTAGAAACCTGTAGCGTGGCAGCTGACTGGAGAGGAGGGAGTCTTCTGGAGGAGAGACACTGAGGGTCTGGAGAGTAAAGAGAAAAACAGGTTTATAGACAAGTATTTAGACTTATTAACTTATATTAACATTATAATTCCTCTTTGATGTAAATGTATTTTAAAAGGTTCTAGTAATCAAACACTACACATATATACATGTATGCAACATATACACCGATCAGCCGTATAATGAGAATAATCTATCTAGCTATGCAATATTTGGTCCTTTGTCAAAGTCGCTCAAATTCCCACGCTGCCCATTTTTCCTGCTTCTAACCACATCAACTTTAAGGACTAAACATTATTATCCCTTATATGCTAATATATCCACACCACTGACAGGAGCCACTGATAACCAGACTAATCAGTGTTATTCACTTCACCTGTCTCAGTGCTCTGACTTTGTATGATTAAAAAGTGGGAAAGACAGAGGGAGAAAAAGACAGATGAATAGAGGTCACATCAATTATAAAGGGAGGAGTGGGGGACAGTGAGTGTGAGACAGACAGAGAGAAAGAGAGAGAACAATGGAGGTAAAGTAATAGATAAAGAGAGAAATAAACTTTTTACTGTATTATTTCTGATTATTATGCTCTTGAAAAATGTTAAATTATGCTGAAATAACATGTAAAACAGGTCAAATATATTAGTGCAGCGGCTGCCAGCTCTCTCACCATGTGAGTTTGATCCGGGCACACGTGCACTAAAGTTTGGTACCAAAATGGTTGTATAAACTGTTGTAGCATAGGATGAGTCCTGCTCTATAATTTATGTGTTAAGTTGCACTTTCAGAATTCTGCATGACAAAATACAAAAATGTTATAACACAATCTGTCAGAAGAAACCAACTTCAAATCGACCACTTCACCTCACAAATCACACCAAGATAAATATCAACCACCATAAAAGGTAATTCTAATATCACTATTATCAAAATACTATACACTCCAACACAATCAGTACACAACAACCACTACAAATTTACTTACATATATATCAAATGACCACACAATATTTCTCGACACCAAATATTTTTAACACAAAATGACCATGATAAATTGGTAATTTACTTGCATGATGGTTATACGTAATATAAAGATACTGATATTAGGTCAGTTATTAATTACTCAATAATGATAGACATTAAAGTCACCTAAT